AGGAATTCCAGAGCTTATGTATGTGGTATATGAAAAAGTACCTATTTTTGATTTTTTGAGCGTAATAACCACTGCTTTTGCTGTAAGAGACAGTGATCAAACTTTACTCACCGTACCAATGCTCTTTCCATCCCTCCCCTTAGCTGTCTCCAATGCCGAGAAGTCCTGCTTTCCAGTTGCTCTTTGCACGGAGTTCTTTCCTTTCTTTGAATCATCATTGCTTTTTTCCAAATTTTTCTAGTTTTCTTCAATAGTGCACAGCACTCAAGGTGTGAATGCAAAATGGCACGCTGCAGTTCGTTTCCTACTCCTTTCCTAATAATACCTGGCATCCCATTTCCTTTATCGGCTGCTTCTGAGCAGTTGCCTAATGTTTTCATAGAATCGCCTATTATCACCCCAAGGTTTCATTTCCCAGCAGGTCCTATCCCAGCACTGGGTATTTAAAGCTGGGATTGTTTTAACCTATGTGCATTACTTTGTGTTTATCTATATTGTGTTCCATCTGATATTTTTTTATCCGGTCAGTCAGAACTGTAAGGACTTTCTGCAGCGACCCACAATTGGGTCGAATTTTGTGAATTCTCTCCTCAATCACTTAGTATCTTCATGCACCCCTTGCTCACCTCTCCAGAGCGTACCATCACGCAGCCCAGTCCCTCCCACAGATCATGTCCAGGGGCAACCTACCCCCAAAATGAAAGCAGAAACTGTTTCCCACTGTTTGTTTTCTACTGGTTTTCAGCTGGTTCTTAAACCAGTTGAAGGAACTGCCATGTAAAGTCTTTAACATTTTAATTAGCCTGAAACCAAATGTTTTTCCTGACCCAAATTAAGTTAATTCACTTTATGTTGGAGCAATATTGTATGTTAAAGAGTTTGATAGAGTTACAGAGTCTTTTAAATGAATGTTTCTTTTGGGTGTTTCAATATTTTGTACTAGAGTTGAATTTCTGCCTTCAATGGCTTTTTAGTATAACAAAATCTACATTGTTTTGCAGGTAAATATTGGAGATTTTCCACCATTCACTAGTACTGCATGAGTAGCACAGTTCACTGTCATATAGACTTAAAACATACACTATCCTAGTTCAAACTGCAACAGTCAGGTTTCCTACTTCAGGCAAAAACCCCTCGGACAAAGAGGCAAACCCAACCAGATACACAGAGAAGTAACATTCAGATACTCACATGTCTTTGTTCCATCCATTATTTGTTTCATTCTTGTTCCATCACACAGTATTACTCCAGTGCAGACAGCGTTTTCTCCTTTCAAGAAACTCCAATGGTACTTAGAATAATATAGATACCTCTTTTTTTCCAAGATTCCTTAACTAGATCTGGCAATTCTACCAAGAAGGTACTTGCCTACTTTATAAGAAAGGAAAAAAATAAACCAGTTTTACGAAGAAATACACTAGAAAATATCAGATGGATAGGGTTAAAAAGAAAAGAAAGCCCATTTGTAGACCACAGGTAGACAGACACCAGGAAAAAAATTTTCATCTGTTTCAAATGGCAATACAGCAGTAGAGTGACTTCTGGAAATAGTATTAGTTTACCACACCTTAAAACTCTGTTAAAGACTTTTGTGATAATGGTTTGTCTTCTATATTCTATACATTTTCAAGATGGAAGGTAATACAGCTTAAATATTGGAAATGTCAATTGGCTGAATAAGAGCAATTATTTATTAAAGGTGCAAGGTTAACTTTATTTACTAGTGTGGACTTAAAAAAAAATCAAATTTTTTAATTAATACAATTATGTACAAAATTTGACTATTTTCACTTGGAAAATTATTTTAAACTATTTAAAAAAAAAAAAAAAAAGAAGGATGAAGTCTCAAAACTAACAGGACACTGTACACGGGAAGAAAGAAAATGCCTGAACAGAATGAAGGACTGATTACACACATGAATATCTATTTGATTTATTGTCAGCTAGTTCACTAAGAATAATGCTAGTTCATTTTGTACGTATTATGGGGTCATACTCACTTACATATGGGAAGCCCAGTGTGGTTTCCTTGTGCCAGGCAGTCAGACTGGGGTTGGGAGTAAAGATGCCATACTCTGCTGCACATCCTTTACTGTTGGTCAAAGGTGCATTATTGTTGGACAGAAGGGTAGAAGTTGAGACTGCAGCCTGTGACTTTCAATGCATTAGGATGTGCTGCAGTGATTTCAATCTATACAGCTCCTGAAAGAAGTGGAAGTTCTGGGGAAGAAGTGTCCTGCAGAGCCCCATTTTTCCTCCACCTCACTTACTGTTTGGAAGGGTTGGGGGGAAATAAAATGGGCACCATCCTTTGAAAATAACAAATGAAATAAATATTGACACATTAGAAGTTCTTCTCAAGGGACTGTGAGAGGGTCAAATTTATCTAGAATAGAAAAGCTTTCATTTTCTGTCCCACAGTATAAAAAGAAAAACCACAAGAAAAGATGAACTTGCAATCTTGTCTCAAAAGGCTGGTCAGCTGCTACAGAAACCTCTGTAATGCTTTGGCTTCCTTTAACACTGTGTGTGTCTGGATGAATAAAACCTGAAAGCAGTAGATACGGTTCCACAAATTGTTTTGATAATACACAGTTTCAGAAAAAGTAGGCTCTAGTCCCCCACCTTAGGAAAAAAAAAAGTTCACCACTACTAACAGACAAAGCTGGGTCTAAGACCTGTATGATACACTTTCAGATAAACAATTAGCATCATGTATTTTTGTTTCCCAAAATAATAATTTTCTGTTGAGATATTTGTTTACTATTATCCTAGGATTTCTCTTTAGCTTTAACACTCCTGACAGAGCATATGTTTATGTGATGCATGTAGCTGGTCATCAGTTAAATGATGTCTTTCATATAATCCACAAGATAACCAACAAAAATCATCCTGGCTCCCCCATTAACAGTAAATAAAGACTTCAAAGAAGTCTTTAGTTTGAGCATATGATTAATGATAGCATATATATATATAAAATGAAGGAAAAATTTAATGTGTAAAAACAACCCCCTGAGTGTTTAAGTATAAGGCAGGCGGAAAAGGTAATTGTATTGTTTCTGTAACTCGCTCACCAGTAGCATATAATGACAGAGTGGAACGTGGCAAAACAAAACAAAACAAAGCAAAAAATCAAACCCAGAAAAGCAAAGCCCCAAACCCCAAACCCAATTTTTGGCTTGAATGAAATGCAAAGATTGGTATAGACCATCTTGTCCAAGCACAATTACTCACGTATTTAAGTAGCATTAGGTTCCAGAAAATCCAGTTAGAAGGCAAAAAATGAAACCCAGAAAAGCAAAGCCCCAAACCCAATTTTTGGCTTGAATGAGATCCAAAGATTGGTATAGACCATCTTGTCCAAGCACAATTACTCATGTATTTAAGTAGCATTAGGTTCCAAAAATGGCGATCTTGTGTATTTCTTTGTCAGAAATGCACTTTAACCCAGGGTTGCCAGTTTAATCTTTGGCCAGAAATTCATTCTAAGATATTGCCAAGGCTATCCAAACATAGGAAATTAGCCTCTTCAGAGGAAATCTTTTCAGAGGAAATAATTTCCACTCTTAAGAGAAAATCTTTTTAGAGGAATATTTTAGAGGAAATCTTTTAAATTTGGGACCAAGCATTAAATCTCTAGGGACTGAATATTTTGTTTGTGAGTGTTGATGTAGTGGTATTCAGCAGTGGTGCCACTAAAGCCTTCAAAATTAAAGAGAGTCTCAAGATCTTATTCTCTTCTACGCAAATTAATGGAAACTGTGCAGATGGCTTCTGAAAACTACTTTCAAATAAGATAACTGCCTTGCAAAGTAAATAATTTATAGCGAATGGCTTGAATAGTACTAACCACACCTGGGGAGACACTGAACTGTTCATCTTTTCAAAGAAACATATCCATTTCATTCACATTTTGAGTTTCCTTCATAGAAGCTTTTTTCAGGATCTTCCCATTTACAAGCTCTATTAATTTCTAATATCAGTGAAGCTGAAACCGACAAACAACTATTTTCCTTTAGTGACAACAGCATTTTAATATTAAATCAAGATGTTCTTGGATTTTGGTCCCTTATTTAAACCTGGGATTACATGTCAGACATAATTAGGTTTCATAACTAGGTTTCTAACCATTCAAATTGGGTTATCTAAACATACAATTAAGATGAAAGTTTTTTTCTGCAATACTTCTTTTCCCTTTTTCTATAAATCAAATTACTTAGAGACAACTTTGATTTTATACATAGCCATTTAACAAGAGCTTTAATAATATGTGGTTTAAAAAGCTGAAGAAACGTTAGGGTATTTTTACCTTGCTACTAGTAATTTTTCCACTGATTTAATACTCTCAGAAACTGGATTCAAGTTTTAATGGATAAGAGATATCCTTTTATGAAAAGTTACTTTTATTTTTACTTGTGACTGTACCTTACTATTGCTATAGGCTTCTTGCCCAGTTTTCCCAGTTCCTCTGAGAGATCCTTAGAAAAAAAAAAAATTCCACATCCATCCTAAGAATGTCTGGTAGCAATGGCCAATTATAGAGGTCATGCATTTAAGGCATAAGTTAAGTCTTTCAGTAGTAGAATGAAAAGCTCCATTCCTACTTTTAAAGGTGAAATTTAAATGTTAGCATTATCAAGAAGATGGGGAATGGTTGAGAAGCTGCAGGAAAATTTTCCTCTATTTCAACACGCACATGCAAACTGCATATAGGACAGTAACTGCTCTCTGGATGATGGTCACACCTTGAAAAAGAGTCAGAAGAAACTCTGTTTCCCTGAATTTGGATTGTAGTTTCAGCTACTAGTTTACATAGCCTAATTTAGATCTATATCATGTCTCGACAGAGTAAAAATCTGCGCATATTTTCTACTAATAGTTCTCATTATTTTCTCCGTGACAGAATTTAACAACATCTTCATTTAAATGCTAATTTTTTTTTTTTTTCTTTTCAGTTAACTGCAGAAACAACATGCTTGAAGACAAATATAACATTTCAGAATAACATGCTTGAAGACAAATATAACATTTCAGGTTCTGCTATGAAAAGTAATAGCGAAATTCATGCAATCATCCAAATCAGTCAGTAACTTTCCAAGGCAGCACTGGGAGAAACACATTAAAAGTGAGTAGACAATGAGAAACACAACTGCTGACTTATTGCAGAAACGTCCCTACTGTCTTACTGCAAACAGATTAAGGTTTTTCCTTAGGTTTTGGTTTTGGGTTTTTTGGTTTTGTTTTTTGTTTGTTTGTTTTTCTTTAACTGTAGTGGATCAAGTGAAACAGGTACTAAGAGTATAAACACATCAGCCCAGTGTTCACAACAGACCTATGCTTTGTTTTCTCAAATTCAGATGCAAATGTTTTTGATTGTTATTATCTCACATTTATTCACACAGCCTGAAGTTAATGGACCGTGATCCTTCTCGTCTTTGTCTGTGGTTATATTTACAGGAGATTTAGAAAGAGATGCTTATTCAACAGTGTCATCAAAGCAGCTGCTTTCCCTGGTTAGGCATGTCTCCCGGTTGTAATCAAACCAGTCAAAGAATGTGTTTGCTCTAAGCATTATTCATGGGAATCCTAAATAAACTTCCTGGCCAAGACCTCCTCAGCTCCCCTCAGATTTGAGAGGACGAGAAGATCTGAGAACAGAAAAGATTTGAAAGACCAAAGAAAGAACAGCAGCTACACTGTTAATTACAGAAACAAGATGCATCTGTGCGTCACCTCAATTCCCACTCTTCCTGGGAAAGATTCTTGGAGAGGCAGGAGGACCTGTTTGCAGATAGGTATTTGCCTGCTGTTCCTTTCCCCTGAAGACACATAGGCCAAAGCACAGGGTTCTCAGACACATACATCGTTACTGGGACACATTTAAATTCAATACTGAAAGAGCAAATTGTGAAAACCATGATGGTTTTTGTCATACATGCCTGGTGTGCATGTATCTTACTGTTTGGCAACAAGGTAAGCAAAAGAGATGGAAGCCACGTTAGAGCCAAAAAAGTACTAAGTGATGTTTTGCTGACTTGAACCCTGTCTAGAGAACCTAAGTCTCTACAGTAGAATCTAGATATTTAATAGACACATACAGGTTCTTTTCACCTACTTTTCACAGGGAAGGGAAGGGAAGAGGGAAGGGAAGAGGGAAGGGAAGAGGGAAGGGAAGAGGGAAGGGAAGAGGGAAGGGAAGAGGGAAGGGAAGAGGGAAGGGAAGAGGGAAGGGAAGAGGGAAGGGAAGAGGGAAGGGAAGAGGGAAGGGAAGAGGGAAGGGAAGAGGGAAGGGAAGAGGGAAGGGAAGAGGGAAGGGAAGAGGGAAGGGAAGAGGGAAGGGAAGAGGGAAGGGAAGAGGGAAGGGAAGAGGGAAGGGAAGAGGGAAGGGAAGAGGGAAGGGAAGAGGGAAGGGAAGAGGGAAGGGAAGAGGGAAGGGAAGAGGGAAGGGAGAAAATCCAGGTGCTGAACAGGATGGAGGCATGTTGAAATCCAAGAAATAAAATTAAAAAAAGAAGCTACCAAGAGGAAGTTAGGGAATTTTAAACCAATCACTACACCCATTTAATTCTCATGACAAAATATTACTTCTCCCAATATAATACAGAACAGATATTTCTAGTCCAAACATGGGCAATGTCAAATCAGCACAGCAGTAAATTTTACTCTTCTTCAGTAAATTCCCAAAATATTTTAGGATGCAATTAGGATAGCTGGATGATTTCCCCTATTGGAACACTCTTCATACTATACCTACTTTCTGTAATGGAATGCAGGCAAATGCATTCATTTCAGTTAATTAGACAACGGTCCCTTGATGGAGAACGAAGATGAAGCCAATACCTGGTATGTGGAGCTTTGGAAGTATGCAAGTGGTTGCTATTTTTGGCATGTTTCAACAAAAATACACTTATATTTCTATAAATATGTGATTGCTGCATTCTGTTGGTCAGCTATTTACTTTTAAGCAGCTGAGTTCTGATTTACATGCTGTACCTACAATAGTCATATAGGCAGAGTACATCTAGTGAAAGACACAGGTCACAATAGTTTGGAGATGTGATATTGTTCCTCAGTTTAGAAAAAAAAGTACACGCCATTTGGTGATTTATAATTCCCCATTTTTGCTGGGGAAATATCCTTGGAATGCATGTCTAAGTGCTGTCTAAGTGCCTAGGATCAGACTGCTTTTCAAAATTCATGTTCCCTAACAAAGATAAGTCCCTCGATAAAGTATGAAACTCAAATCAAATTTGATTACTATTTCAAGAATGCAAACACAGTAGTCTGAAAGAGGGTAGACCAGTTTTTAACCATGGTATTATGAAAGAAAAAGATGTGGCTTTTTCCATTGTCTTAAAGTACAGGGAAGGGAAATATGGACAAGCCATCCAAACTCACTCACAATGAAGAACAGATGTGAGCTATTATGTAGTGTTACTGTATTATTCATAGGATTTTGGTATCTGTATTATTTCAGATACACATTTTCTCAGTATACTCAGAGCACAGAAAGCTTTGGATTCCTGCAAGTATTCCAGTGAACCGTTCATTACTTTTCACAGGAGTGTCATGGATAGGTTTGCAAGCTAGTGTTATAGGAAGGAGAGGAGAAACAGCTCTCTTGGCAGCTGTTGAGCATCAGTGGGAGAGGAGAGCAAGTACTTCCACTGAGCAAAATCACAGAGGGCTGAGAAATAACTGCAGAACGATATTCTAATATTGCATTGTGTTGATGCGAGATAGTCAATACAAACCTGATGATGAAAAAAAGCAGCCGTGAGTTCTGAATGACCAACAATGTGGATACGTGGTGATTAGGAGTACTAGTAGATACATTATATCTCTACATAATTAACTGGAAGCTAATCTGAATGTATAGTATTTGTGTCTAATAAACAGCAATCTCTACTTCTCAATTTCCATGTAAGTATCACTAATAAATTGGAAGACTAATTAATCAAATATTGCTCCAATATTATTAGCTAATTTACCAAGCAAATTGTTTTCGAACGGGTGTGAAGCCGCCTGTGGCTATGGGAGATTACACTCTAAGTTATGTACCAAAGTGACTTTACTGTAGATCAGAACCCTACAAAGCCGTGTCTGTTGCTGATAATATAACCCTAGAAAAGCTGACACATTTCTTATCCAGAATACTTATTCTCTTTCATGTAAGGTGAAATTTTACAAATACAAAAATTCAAGATGTTGCTTGTAAAATTGTTTTGGTTTACATATTACATTTGGTTGCATTTGAAAATAAGAACTGCTAACTAAGAAGCTGGCCAAAGGAAAGGGCAAAGTATAATCATCAGTTTAAATATCAAGGTTTAGGTGTAGATTTTGAACATCCCAATAGAAATGGCATGGAAATTTGATGCTTGGTTTGGACTAAGAAATATTTTAAAAACTGGTTCATAAGGAAAATTAATTGCAATTCTTGAATAATAAGCAATATCTCTGAACAGTGAGAAAATTACGATCAATAAACTATATGGGGTACTCTGTACTAGTGTATATAATTACCATTATGTGCAATTTATTACCAGTGTGCAGAGGCACAGTTGTAAAACAAGATGACATCATTAGACAGGGTATGATAGAAAGTCTTTAAGCTAGCATATAAATCTTTTATTGTCATATTTAGAGACTTACTCAGATATTATACTTGATGTAGAAAGTCCTATTTGAGGGGGAATCTTCCTCAATCCACAAGTCTGAATGGTCTCCTTATATTATAACTATTTCTACTAAAAGCAAGGGCAAGACTATGGCTCTTCCAGCACTGCTGTAGGTATTTCCAGAGCTGCACAGTTCAGAGGTGCTAAGTATTGCAATCAGATTTCACCAAAACTTGTGCATGATTTAATGGCCTTATACTTAAGTAAGCCATAAAGTTTAATGGTGGTGTTTGTGTTTAAGGCCAGAAACACGCTTATAAACTTTTCTGGACCAAGACCATTAATGCCATATCTGAACAGCATAAGTGAGGCAATAAATAGAAGAACATTTGTTGAGGCAGGCTGGTATTTGTATTACCAATCCGTTGACTCAAGGACAAGGGAGGAGGAGGCTGAAGATCAGATTTCTGCCACTTTCACCAAGAGGCCTGATGCTTTGCTCCACAAGCAGTTCCAGCTGAATCATGGGGGAGCATGCTCTAGCTTGCTATTATAAAACAGAGTATCATAGTTTGGCTTGAAACAGCTTTCAGAAAAATCACACAGGAAGTTTGTGTCAGATTCTAAACCCTCATTATCTGACTCTTAGCCAATGCTTTAACTAGAAGACCATCTGAACTGCCTGACTTTCCAATCTCCTGTTCCAGAAGGTTACTACTTTTTTTCCTTCCCTCATGGGGTGTGAGTTTCAATAATTACATATTTAAGGAGAGGGATGGGGAGAAGGAAAAAAAAAAGATGAATTAGTTCTAGTGTAATCCAGGTTTGGGCTTTTAAGATTGAAAGTCCCTCGGTCTGCTAGCAACCTTCTGAAATACTGCCTGGTTTTTTTATTCATAAAGTGTGTGTTTTTAAGCTAGTGGTTGTAAAATGGGCAGGTGAAATCAGTACCATAGCAGATTGCGTAGGTTTTGAAGAGTAGCATCCAAAGAACTCAATCTAAATCTGAAATTATTAGTGATGTCATGAAATTAATAGACATCTATATCTTTCACAAGTAATCATGAGTTTAATTAAGCTCTCACTACCTTGTTTGGTGAGGCATTGACAGAGTAATTAGGAAGAGTCCTTTATTTATAGCTGCGGTCCAGCACTTAATACCTGAAAATTCTTTCTTTTATTGCAAGCAGAAATGTAGAAGAGGATGGTTTGCAACTTGGTGGGTGGCCCTAATGCCAGGATCCCACTGGAGCATCTGAATCACGGGAGGCCATTCCTCACTCCCAGTAAGTATGCCGGTAGAAGGGAAGCAGTTGGCTACTCATCCATAGTGTTATTTACTGAATATACCCAGTTACAACTACCACGCACTCCAGTAACATATTGCAGACTGACAACTTGCTTAAACCCACTTACCAATGAAGCCATAGAGCAGAACTGAAAACTTGGGGTTCCAGGTCATAGTTATCAGGATAATTGTAGCTGAGCAAGGATGTAGCTATGCTACTGACTCAGCTCCTCCTATATTCAAAAGTTTTCGCACTTTCATCACAAAAGATCCTAAAATGGATTTACCATCAATGAAGAAATCAGTTCAATAGTCAGTACAATACAGGAAAGTATAGTCTTTCCGTGTGCAGCACGATCAGCTAGGAAATACTGAGGGTAAGGAGTAGCAGTTCAATTTCAATTTACAGGATATTTGGCAGGCAGACCTATCTGAACCAGGCAGGTTCTACCTGAACCAGAATTTGACTGTGATAGGCACCCGCCTACAACCCACGCAAGGGATCCTTGGCAAACTCTGTAGAGTATGGAAAGCGCAAAGGTCTGCTTGCTGTTTCATGATTCCAGATTATCTGGCACTGTTCTAGTGGAGGCAGCTCAGTATGACTCTGACTTGGGTTGAATGGAAAGTGGTGTAATGGAACGGCACGCTGCCAGCTCACAGCTCATGCTTTCCCCTGCTTTTCCTTCTGCAGTGACACTTGGCTGAGTTAAGCTGAACTGGCTGTTACGAGCGTGACCCACGTTGCTTCCTCCAGGAACGAGGAGCTCGCCTTGCCAAGAGGAGCTCTCCTCACTGTGCATCTCTCCAAAATGGGACAAATCCGTGTCAGGTAGCCCAGCAGCTGCAACAGGAGCTGAGCACGTCAAAGGGCTAGAGACCCACTTTCTATCTGAGAGCAACAAGACCTTTTAACCACTTCTTATTTTATGGATAAACTTACAATGATTCCTCAAAGCTATTTGCCAGAAGAAATGAAATACTAAAGAAGAGCTAAGAGGCAGAAGCAAACCTGCATTCTTTTAGGTTTCTGAACTACTCTGTTCAGATAAAACATCTGCTTAAGTGCCTGCTTGTTATATCATTATGCTCAACTTTTTTTCTGACTGTTATTCATCATGAGAAAGAATTCTAAACATGGTAGCACACCACGGGTGTTCTCACTTGTGCCAAATGTACTATGCTACCACAGCCAGTCATAACAAGGCATTATTTCTAATGGAAAAGGTGGTTTATGTCTCTAGCAAAACAATATTATTTTTATCTGGTCACAATGACACATCTGTTGTATGCCTTGATTTTAACAGCAAAAGCATTAGTTTGTATTGAATTTTCAATTTTGCTATTTTATCTTGTTTCTCTTCTCTGTATTGTTTGTGTAATAAACCCCCTCTTGTTTGAGGGAAACCTCTTTTGTATTTAGTCAGGAGGGTGTGCTAGCAAGCTGTCTTTCAACTGGCAGAATCAAATATAGTATATGCCATAAAATGACAATCAAGTATCATCTGAGAAGACAGAAGCATGTTTATTTCCTCTCCTATCCAGAGAATCAAAATGATAGCTGTTATCTTGTTTGTAAGAAAAAAAATAATAAATCTTTCTTTAAAAAAGAAAGTTTTGTATGTTGTCTCACAGAACCTTCTTTAATTTTTGAAAACATAAGTAATACCATGCTGTAATCTTAAACATGTCAAATTGCAGTTGCATATCACAATTATCACCTAGTCAGGCACATGATCTCATCTCCTGTCCTTACAGCTGATGGCCTTAGGCTTTCAAAATAAAGACTATTCTGTGTTAGTAGGACTTTTGTTTGGTTAAAACATTTTGAGGTCATAGAGAAAAACATTCACTGTGTGCTCAATGAAGGAATTTTAAGAAAAATCTGCTCTAATTTTGTGATCTTTGCTTTCTCATTTGCATTTTCCCTTGAAATCTTTCTGATTCCACACTTTAGATTTTTACCCTATTTAACAACATATCAGTAACTCATTTTGCATTCTTTCAGATTCCATATATAAGCAAAGAAACAATTAAGGTTTGGGCCAAGATGAGTCATTTATGCACATCATTAGTTTTTTTTTAATGAAAGAAAATCTAAGAGGCTGAAGAGCGTGTTCAGGTACTTTCAGGGACATACCACAGTAGGTGCTTTTATCTGGTAAGAAATCTCTGGCTGAACATCAGAGTATGTCAGTGTAACCTACAAATTATCAGTTCTGTTTGTTTAAGGCAGGTAGCCATGTTCTGAACCACAGAACAAAAGATCCACTGGTAGGTTGGTGTATTTTTTTAAATCTCCTAATGGACACTGTTTGCTGCTTTTGGAGACTGAAGTCTACAATCATATGTAAGCTAGTTTAAGATTGAATATACAACCTTAGTATTTGTAAAGCCCTGCAAGGACCTAAGCTCCTCTTAAAGAAATACAAAATAATGATTGAAATCATCATTGTTTTTCTTTTTGTCACCTCCCTGTATTTATGCATAGAACATAAACAAAAGAGATAAAGAGCCAGGAGTGAGAATAAATCTGTAGTCCCATATTTTCAAGCCAACACATATTTTTTCATTTCTGCTCTCCTCCACCAGTTCCAATTCACTATTATGGGGGAAACCCATCCTCACTTAAAACCATAAAAACAGGAAAATGAAATGAAGAAATAGAACTGGGCATAGAGAGGGTTAGTACTTAGCTACCAGTGAGCATCATTTCCATGTGTTCCTCACACCAGCAAGAGTGTGTGCAGGTGCCATAAGAAGGTATATTGGGGAATATCTCCAGGTGCTCCGTAGTTTTGAAATCAGGGCACCTAAATACATCTGCTCGTGTTTTGAAAAGGTCTGTTTACTGTCTAATAAAAACCAGGAAAGAAGAAACAATTCTTACTCATTGCTACAGCGTTCACTGGGGTCACTGATTTCCTCATAATCAGCCACAAGTAACTGCAACTGTCGTCCTTTAAAAATTAATTCAGCACTTTACGTTTTTATTTCCTAAGGGAGATTAAAAGCTGCTTGACAGTCTTTTAATTCTATTACCTGTTGTTCTGAGGGGAAACGTTATTTGAACTGGTCTGAAGCTGATGTTGCTTTTAAAGTCTGAGCCGCTTCTTTCCAGACCACAGAAGACACAGATACATATAAAAGGTAAGGAAAAAAAACTTCCAGGAAACACAACAGTGTTATTCTTTATGCAGAACCTCATTGCTGGAGGAAATCAGCCCAGTACAGAGCCTCTTCAGCTACACTGAGACCTGTTCTACGTGTGTGAGTGTCAGCCTGCTCCAGGCATTGCTTTTGGCTGCTTCCTGCCTCACGGGCTCATGAGAACAGCATCAGGGATGTAGTACCTGATTAAGCTGAGTCCTAGTTAGATGGACCAGAAAATGCTGAAATGATGGCAGGAAGGGATAGGATACGTGAAAGTAGGAGATGGAACAATAGTCTCATAAGTGTTTTTCGACTTGCACATAAAGCCAATACAGAAGGAATGTTTCCTTCTCTCTCCTGCTCGAACCACAATCCCATTCCTGTTCACAAGTTAAAATAACCAAGGATCTTAAACAATAGCAATATCACGACTGACACAGGCTGCTTTGTACCAGTCCTGACCCTACTGCAAGGCTAATTAGAGGCAGCTGCTTGCAGGTGACATCTCTCTTTTTTTCTTTTAAATTTATTTTCTGCAGTAAATTCATGCCTGGGTGTAAGTATTAGCAGCCATGACTGTTCAATGAGAAATTATATTGGTCAAATTACCATCATTTAAAAAAAAATGAAATATCCAGACATAAGTTTTAACTTCTTTTCATGCCAACTAGTGATTTTAGCAGAACCTTAAAAAACCCACCCTGTCACCTTTAACATAAAGAAATGGTTATCAACAGCGCTCCTGTGACTTCCATAAAATTGTGTTATGCGGTGAATAGAGCCAGCCTTATTTGTTTGCTTTCTGCTGAACAGCAGCTCAAAAACATTAGAAAGAAATGGTTTAACACACTAAGCCACATACAGCCTAGCGAGGGATATATGCAAAGAGTAAGGGATACATAAGAAATATTCAGGGATTTCCCTTTAAATAACAAATGAAAGAACAACAGCTGGAACACAAGAGTGAGCGTATGCACCTGTTTAGGCCTGAACACAAATAAATGAAGGTCTGTTTTAAATTATTAAGGAACTGAAATAATAAGGAGGATGAAATTTCATTTCAGTTCCCAGGAAAGAAGGGCTTTACACTTATATAAAGTATTGCTCTCTCCAGCCATCTAAATGATGTGGAGGTTTGCAGAAATGTCTCTAAGACTGGGCATAAATAAATGATTTGAGACCTGGGAATTAATTTCTTAAGAATATTGTTCTTTTTTTTCATGTCCTTACCAAATTAACATAGACAATGTGGTTTTTTTTTATTGTCAAGCAGTTACTGCTAACTTAAGCAAGCCTTATTTTTGAGACATTTAAAGCACTGAGCTTCCTTAGAAATTAACAACTTTAAGAATCAGTACTTTTCATTTGAAGACTATAGACTTTCTTTTGCAAGAACTAACATTTGATTCTAATTGCAGCTCAAGTGTCAAGTGCGACTGCTGTTTGTGATTCTACCTGATATACCTAAGGATAATGACCTTTCGGTTCATCACACACAATGTAAAGCAAAAGCTAAATCTGGAGCGTTGTCTTAAATCAGCATTGGGTCTGTCTGCACTCAAGGAAGTTATACTCATGAGTAAATTAGATTAGTGTTTTAAGAAATACCAGTAATTCCCTTTTCTAAGTATAGAATGGCATTGGTTAAAAGAAGCATTGTAAATCTTATTTCCAATTAGCTTAAGCCCTATAAACACTCACTGAAGGCCCTGCTAAATCTGCTTAAATTCAGAGACTGTCCACCATTTGCCAGCTGCTAGTTCCTGTCTGGAGATTTAGCAACAGATATCTGTGGGATGGGAAAAAGCTGATTAGTGATGAATAATGAAGAGAGACCAAATGCCCATTAACCGGGTCTGAAAGCAGAGTCTAACAAATGACCTGACATGATATTTAATAGAGCCCAGTTAGGCAAAGAGCAGTAAGCAATAGATTCTGCTTCGTATGAAGGACAGTGCAGGACTGCGTATATCTTACTGGCTTTGAGCTACCTGTGGATTCAGTGAATTTTTAAGGTAGACAAAACCCCATATACTTCACCAAACCGATAAATAGATATTCAGTGCATGGATGACAGCCTACGTTTTCATAAAGCAGATGTGTTTAGTCAGTTTCACAAACACTCAAAAAGAGAAGCTACCCTCCAGAAATGAGGGAGGAGAGATTCAGTAACACCATCATGGAACAAAAATGGAACAAAAATGGAACAAAAAATATTTTAAAAGGTGAGCGGGGAGGAGAGATTCAGTAACACGATCACAATGGAACAAAAAATATTTTAAAAGGTGAGCCCTTCTATTTCCTCTCATATTCACCTTGCTCTCTGTGAAAGAAATCACTAAGGCAAGTGCCAGCCTCTCTTCTTCTGTATTTGAGAATACATTGAAAAAATATTGAAGTCAATTCCAGTCCACTAACTATGGTGAGCATTGTGTCAGAACAACTCAGCTTTTGCTACAGCAAATTACTCTACCCGTTCTCTCAGGCAGAACAACTTCCTCAGATGACAAAAAGCATCAACCATCCTTTGAGATGAGTCTCCACTTTGACATGTGCCATGCTGGGAAGCTGAGTGATAAGCTTAGGATTCAAACTTATTCAAGTCACCGTGTCTTCTTAAGTATTTAGACTTCTCTGCTCAGAAGATTTTTTTTTTCTTTTTTTAAAACATCAATGCCACATTTATTTTGGTATTTCAAACACCTGTGGATATCATTGATATAACTGTGCATCTTCAAAACAAAATCAGTCGATAGCTGAGTAAAAAAATCAATAAGTTTTTCTTCTTCTGAGGATTACACACAGAAAGAAGAGGCTCACTGTTGTACTGTAGTGGATTTCATGTTCCTAAGATAAACAGCAAAAAGAAATATCGTCTTGTTTTCTGATTCCCATGTCTAGACACATTTTGTGTAGTGGGCAATTCTGAATTATCGGACTAGAGCTCCGCTGAGGTGTTCTGCTGACATCATGAGTCATACAACCAAAGCTCAAGTGGTTTATGTTGTCATTAGAATCCCAAGATAGAGCTGTATAAAATGACATAATTCACAGTGTGCCTTTTTGTTTTATATAGTAATACACAGTCTGAGTTCCTGATTCAGTTCCTTCTTATTCCCATTGAGCCCATCCTTTCTTTTCCCTCAAGTAGCTTTCTGACAGCACAATTGAAGCAGCAGTTTGTTCTAAAATAAGAGGTATTTTTGTAATTGGCAGATTTCTTTATTGAAAGAAAAGAACGAGCATTTCTTGAGACGGAAACGTAGAAGTGGAGATGAAGAAGATGAATTTGGGATTGAAACACTATTCATCAAAACTGGATCAACACAGGGGTTATGGAAACGTAGAAGTGAATATGTCAGCGGAGATGAAGAAGATGAATTTGGGGTTGAAACACTATTC